TGGGTCAGTTTGGGGGGGAGGAGTGGGGGAGGGCCGAGGGTGTGTGTGTATAGGGGGGGGGGACCTCAAGAGTCAAATACATGTGGGGCCGGTTATCTCCTCTCATTGAATTCTTCCCGGCAGGTCCTTTCCCGTTTTACCCGTTTGCTCACATAAACTCCACGTCGCCGCAAGCCGCGCATCCCAACTTGGCCGTATGGTTTTCCTATGTACGGCAAAAGGTACGGCGCATGGAGCTGTGCGCGTCCCTATGGGCTGCCGGGATCCGTGCCGAGTTTGGCTACAAGCCCAACCCCAAGATGGCGGATAACCTAGGGTTTTGCCACGAGAACGCGGTGCCGTACATGGTGCTGTTCGGGGAGGACGAGCTGACCAGGGGGGTGGTCAAGATTAAGGTGGGTCCGGGGCTGGGATGTGCGTATGTATGTATGTATGTATGTGCTTTGTATCTGGGAGTGTAAATAAGCATACGGGTATTTGACAATACTCGTTTTCGTTTGGGAATGTAGTCTCAGTAAAGCGAACTGGAATTCATTTCAAAGTTTTATTTCATGCGACAATCGCATAGATATGGGCATATGACAAGTTAATGAGGCGCAAGCCCGCTCTCACTTGCCCGTACACTCGCCCGTACACGATCTCCTGAATGGTGTAATATTTCGATATTTTGATGTCCTGAAATTTTTAATTTCAGGACATGGACGCGCACAAGGAGGATACGGTGCCCGTCGATCAGCTGGTTCCGGAGCTGCTGAAACGGCTGGAGGAGCGAAACCGCCAGGCGGCGGCGGCGCCGATGCCAGCAACGGCGGCGGAGGCGGCGGAGGCTGCCGCGGCGCCCGAGGCGGCGGCGGCAGACGGCACTGCATAGCCCGCGGGCTGGAGCGGAGCCCGTTAAGGGGTTTGGTTGGCGGGTGCTGAAGGGATGTATGGGTCGGTGACGTGTGCGTGTGTATGTATGTGTGTAGATGCATGTCTTGGACTGATGTGTTTTGTCTGGAGGTGTGTGGGGGGTTAATATGTGGCGGTGACGGGAGCGGTGGTGGGGAGTGGGGTGGGGCTGTGTGTGGGTGCGGGGAGCTGCGACGAATGCGGCAGATGGGAGGGGTGCCACTGGAGCTCCACTGGGGGGGCAAAGAGGGTGCGTGTGTCGTTGCAATACGTGTCTGTCTGCCTGTATGTATGTGTGTGATCTTCTGAGGGAATTGTATTGTACGGGTTTGATTCGGGTGGGGAGAGAACCATCTGAGAAAGGCCATATAGCAGGAGTGCCGTTTTCTTAATAGAGATAGCGAGAGTGAGTGTATGCGTGTGTATTATTGTGACGCTGTTTTTTGCGGGTGTTCGTGTGGGAGACGGGAAAAGGTGCAGGAGTGCGAGCGCATGCGCAATACAATATGGAGGCAAAATATAAACCTACTGAAGTGAACAGTCAGTTGAGCTGCAGACCCCTAGGTGTCAGCCCCCACCCGGGCTGCAGATCAGCCGGGCTGCAGATATGAAACCTAGTCACAAACACCGAATTGCTCCGAGTAATGTAATGTCATCCGCATTTAAATTGTCCTTGCTGACTTTAGGCGTGTGTGTTTGGCTGCCTTCCCCCCCGGGGGGAGGGAAGGGGGTTACGTCCTCACGTGTTTCGTTGTGAAGGCAGGGCCGTAAGTCCGGTATTTATGTCCGGCAAGGAACAGGTTATATGTGAAGTGTGTGTATGTTATATGGTCGTATCCCGTACCTGCAAACCGCTCCATACGAGCCGAGGGGCCCAAGGGCTGCCAGATCGACACCACCCTACCTCGCACTTCAAACAAAGCAAGTGATGAAGGATACTAACGACCACAGGGGCAGCAATGCAAGTAGGCAGGACATGGTGCTTAGGGTGAGTGGTGGCGTACAGGACTTGACAGGAAGGAGAGAGGCTAAGGGGGAATTTTGGTTTTCGGTGGTGTGAGAGTCGCAGCAGGTGGTTGGAGACTGATTTAGAGCGTCAGGGCGATATGAGTGTAGGAATTGTCACTCCGACGGGTTCATTTGTAGCGATTGCGGAATACATTACAGGTAATTTAATATGTTATGTGTATTTACGTTGACATCCGGAACTTAGGGTTTTGCCAGGAATTAAGGGAAAAAAGTCCACGTTACATATTATGTCAGAGCTGTTTTTTTACACACTCGAGGAAAAAGGTTTGTCAGCGTAGAAAGAATACAATGTCCTGCATTAAGGATAAGGATAAAATCTGTGATTTAGATACTGTACCTATCCTCCAGTTATATTTCAGATCAACACCAATATCACCCACCAACTGTACTACACTAGCTAGAACGATTTTTTTTACGGTTGCAGATTGACTTGCGTCGCTAGTTTAGTATTGCACACGCGATCCTGTACACCTCTGCTTCAGCGCTGCAGACTGCACAACGTCAACGGCAACTTAGTCTGATCAAATATAAGCCAAGTTCCACTCTCGCGCCAAGATATGTACCAAGTTTCGCAAGGCGTATCATCCCCAAACAAAATAAGAACAGTATGCGAAAGAACTTGCTGCTATATTTCATTCGCATGCCCTCTCTCACAGTATTTCTCTCGCGCTCGTCTCCTCACATCAAAATTCCTTGAAAGAAAAATCCAGTTCATCTTCACAGCTTAAGAACACCTCTCCTTTCCCTCCCCCATTAAATGATCAGTATTTCCATTTCATATAGGTTCCTGAACCACATAAGGAACCACTATAAAGATAATTTCACTTTTTGTTCCAGAAGAAGCTCGTGTTGGCCACAGTCGGGTCCTCCTTCGGAGCCGTCGCCGCCACAAACGGGTGATCCATCTGGGGCGCTCCAGCGTATGGATCCTTGTAGTCCGTCTTGACGTAGCTGCCCCACGCAGGCGAGCTGCTGCTGTCCACGTGACTGCGGCTCTGAGCACCGCCCAGGCGCTTGAGCAGGTAATCGCGAGGGATCTCCTGTACAAGTTTACCTGCGGCAGCGGCGGTAGCGGCCTTGCCGTCCGCGGCGGAAGCTGCGGCCAGAATCTGTAGCTGCCGCGGCGACAGAGCCTGCGTGTGCGAGTGTTCGGCACACGGGAAAAGAAAAGCCATTGGGTTGAGCCGGTGGGAATTTCTAATACTCATTAAATTATTTATTAGAGGTGACAAGCTGTAAGGAGACAGTCTTCACGTAAGAACACAGCTGTCGCGAGACGCGAGGCGGATTTTCGGGTCAAAGAATAAATTTGAAAATTCTGGATATTCGGAAGGTTTACAGTCCAAATGCGCTAGCTTTCGCAATCAGGTGTAGCGAGTAACGAGCCGTCCGGCCGCCTCCCGTTCGCTGTTGTATGTGCTAAATAAGTCTCCCCTTTTTAGCGCTCTCGCACCATTTTCCACTTCCCACTTACCGGCACCTTGGAGAGGTCCAGATGAACCTTCTCTCCGTTGACTACCACGTAGCTCTTGCCCACGCCCACAAACTCCAGGGAAGGTACATCGGTATTGTTGAGATCTGCGGCCCAGTTGTGAATCTGCACGCCTGTGAACACCGCGTAGTCGGCCTTCGTCGGATCCACCGCCTTAGAAATCAGGTACTCCAAATCCTGGTCATAATAACATGATCGCGCAGATAAAAAGTAAAAACTAAGAAAGAAACGCATATCCGGCGCCAAACCAAATCAGCGCCTATCAACAGCAGATCAAAAGAGAAACCAAAAAATATGCGAGAAGCCAGAAACGTTTCAACCCGATGTGCTACTTTTTGCATTTCAAGAAATCACCAAAACAAATTCCGATTCCGATTTCAAAACTCGCTGACAGCGCACCGAGGAGATTACGCGCTCGGCCGCCTTGGTGATGTCCACCAGACTGAGCTCCTGTGGCTTTTTGCCCTCGTAGGTCAGACGGCGAGCGATGCGCTGCTTGAGGATGGAGTACTCCGGCTCCAACGGGTCGTGCACTCCGGGGGCCTTGACGTTGGCCTCCAGACCGTCCTTCTTCAAGTCGCCAAGGCACTGAAGGGAAAGAGTTGAAAAAAGAAAGTTCAGCTCTACAAAGTCTAACCCCTTCAGCACCAAGTTTAATCGCCACTCTTGCATAGTCAACAGTTTCCGCAACGAGAAAAAACACTCTACTGGGAGAGCAGCCGGAGCGGGAAACAGGAACAGTGAACCAGAACTTAGGCTGCAGCACGCGGATTTAACAAGATTTAAAAACGAGACTTACACATACACACACATACACACATAAACGCACCGCAATGAGGGCACCGCACGCGGCGCTGGCTCCCGGACGGTTGGGTCGACTAACGGCGCCGACCTTGCCGTCGCTGTCAATGGCGATGTGGGGGAAGGAGAAGAACACGTAGCGCTCCTTACCCTGCACATCAATCAGCAGAAGAGATTGGACGGTGTGAGCGTGAGAAGAGGAAGGCATTGCGGTAATTTTCCTAATAACCGCGGGCATTGTGATTAGTACAAAATGCCTACGACGAAACTAGGAAGCTTGTGAAATCTTTGGATTCGGATCCAATTTGGATTTTTCAATCTTTGAAAAAAAGAACAAGAGAAATCGTGTCAATGCCGGTTAAGTAGCCATAGCAATAATGAGAGAGAGCCAAGTGCCGTGCATGTCATATAATGTTGACGATCCCCAAGCGCGTCGTACGTATAAAAGGTGCCGTTACAGGTTGCCAGTGAGCGGATATTCGTACAGATGGCTGCACTTACTCCAACGACTGGTGAGTGGCTGAGTCCGGCCTTCACGCCGATGACGCCGCACGTGAGGACACCGCCCAGGCCATGTGTGCTGAAGCAGGATCCAAACGCCGCCTCAATCTTGTCCTCGAGGATAAGGCAAGACTCATCTCGGCACAGGTTACTCATAGCTGCGTTCCGAAGAGCGGGAACGTGTGCGTGTGGAGTTGCGAGTGGACGGTTAGTACGACGCGAGAAATATCAAGAAGCGTTGTTTAAAGTATTTTTCTAAGCGTTGAAATTCAGTATTATTATAATATCATTATTGCGTGCATTTAGATTTTCTCAGAAATAGCTCTTATTAGTTTGCCTGGCTCTGCAACAACTATGCACAGTGTGCGAAGAACTAAAACCTGCTGCTTTGACAATCCAGGAGCCTAAAGAGCCGAACAATAAAGAAGGGAGCGACCCACTTTACGCGATCTCATGCATGAAACCTCACTACAGAATATATGACATCTCGCAAATCGAACCGCAGAAATCAAAAATGCGCCTCACCGATGGAGTTGTCGCCTGTGAAGCCATAGCCCGCCAGCGCGACTTCGACTCGGGAGATAAAGTCGTCGACGGAAAGCGCGGTGGGAAAGTGCTTGGTAACTTCCGAAAGTCGTTCTGCCAGGCCAGGGGCGCGCTCGTCAGCAGCCCAAGCAGGCTGCGCAAGCACGCTCTGGGACGTCGTCGACATAGATTGAACATGGCCCTCGCAGAAGAGCTTGCCGCAGCTGCACGGCCTGAGCGTCGGCAGGGCACTGCTCCGGGCAATGCAACCAACAGACCGCTGAAGCTCACTGACACACTCCGAACGCGCAAGCGTGGAAATCATACGAGGAAGAATTGAGTTCCATAGCTGCTCGGTGAGAGCCTCAGCGCTTTGGAAGCTGGCGTCCACAACCGCAGCGAATTGCTTGACGGGAATGCGAGAGAAGGACGCCCGCGACATTATGGATGCTGTTAATTATATAATATGCTTGTGTTCTTTAAGAAGCTTATACCTCCGTGCTTTGATGTTCCTGCTATTTAAGGCAGTTAAATGTTTGTTGTTGGTTTCCGTACGTGTGGTAGAGTGTCGCTCCCAACAGACGGTTGAGACTCCATACTCTCCAATGAGTGTATACCGTATTCGCACATTCACAAACAACTATGGCTGGAAGGTTGGAGGGCTGATGTACCTGAGGTACAAGGTTCGGTGAATGAAAACTTCAAACGACTGAGACTCGGAAGTTGAAGTCATCACACTGCGCGGAAGGTACATCGTGCACTTGTTTGAATAAATGCTTAAAAAATTAATCCTAAAGAAAAGCTGAACAAGGCAAGAGCGGACTTTGGTGAAGTGTGCGAGTTAAGCGATGAAGTGTCGCTAGAAGAAGGCAGAGGCCAGGTAACCCTTCGCAACCTGGCCGAGCCGCTGCTAATTGGCGATAATACAAGAGCAAAGTAAATTGAATTAATGCTGATTCGGATTGAACGCAGCCGGTTGTATGCTGACTATGGACCTGCTGGGCGAATACAAGTTACTTGTAAGTTCCGCACAAGAGCAGCGTTAGTCCATAGAAGCCGGGCGGGACATGGACGGTCAATAGCCGCCAATATTATCATCGCATCGGTCCGCTTAGAGGACTCTTTTTAAAAATGTCGCTGTAGGTAGTTGCGACGGTATAATAACGATCAACCAAATCCTCGCTGACGTTAGCAACAGACCTGATGTCTGACATCGGGCAAAAGAAGTAACCGTAGTGCCACTAAAAAAGATTGGTGACAGAAAGATTGGCGACGTTCCTTTGAAAAAAAGTCCTGGAATTTTGCAATGATTCTTGCAATTGTTGATGGCCTAGGAATTGTTTTGCAAAGCTGTGTGTCGAATATTGGTGGCGGCCCGATGACAAGCCGGTCGAACCGTTCGCGTTTTGGCCTTGCCTGATCACCATTTTCACTGCCATAAAGCTAGGCAGGCCAGTGAAGGCTGTTCCGGGACACAAGCAGACGCTTACTCCCTCCCGCTTGCCCAATCCCCCCTTCCCTTCCGTCCCCCCATTTGAACACCCCCAAGAGGCGCATCACCAACTTTGGTAGCGTGGTGACTCATGGCGGAACTCCAAAAAATAACTTACTGGTGGCCCACGCCCCCCAGACAAGCCCCGGCGCGAATTAACATCACTTCCTTTTCCTTTCCCCTCTCCTCCTCCCTTTCTCCCTACCTCTTCTTCCCCCTTGCTTTCCCCCCCTTCTTCTTTCCCCCCCTTCTTACCCCTCGCTTTGTCCGTTCCCCTTCCCTCCTTTTGCCAGCATGTTCGTGAATATAACATTTTCCATCTGAACAGTAATAAAGCTGTCCGTTTTTAGCTTTGAACAAGTTATGGAAAATTGCCGTGCGTTGTACATTTGGTGATGCCCCCGCGCTTGAAGAAAAGTCTTGACGTCGTGCGCATCATCAAGATCGCGGGCGAAAATGGGTAATAGGGTCGTGTTACCGAACACCACCCTCTTCGCCCATGGACCTCGCAGCGCCCTTATGTATTGCCCTTCAATTGCTCTAGTAGCAACGAGTGAGATAATTTTTACCTTTTTCTCACAGGGGGAGGGGATTTCTTTCCAACATTTCAATAACAAATACGTTGGGAACTAAACTAAACTAAACTTGCAAGGACAGCAGACTGTGGAGTTGTCCTGCAGGTGTTGTGTCGGTGGTGGTGAGCACTAACTTGTCCGAACACCCACCGTGTTGTATCCTGTAGGGCGTATATCTCACCACGGGATTTGACATCCGGCAATCGGTCCTTTTCTGTTCAGTCGTGATACCATACATACAGTGTGTAGTAGCTGGCCCCGCTGAAAAGGCCTCTCGAGATGCTGGCGGTCGCGCTTAGCGCGTATTTGTTTGTATAGCCGTACTGTGTACCAGTCTGCTACATACAGTCCCCTAACAGCCTCGACCGTCTCATCAATATGACGCTCCATGCGGCAAACTTGCTAGGCCACGCGATGCAAATCATCACGTAAACACGACGACTTTTAATATACATATACTTATATACACCCTACACGAGCAGGTGCGTGTGTCGTCCATGCACGCCTTGCGCCTGCAGCCATCCAGCGAAGGGCCGCAGCAGTCCCACAGCGCGGCGGCAACCCTAGGGGTGTGTGTACCTAAAGCAATATTATTTATAAATTATACTACACGGCAAGTCTTCTGAAGAATAGCCGCATCAAGATTTTGATCAAGACGTTGGGGGGCCCTTAAACAGGAATTGCTAGCAGCTAGGCCACCATATCGGCCTAGCTGCAAGAAGGGTTCGGCTCCCTTGACATCTCCCTGAGTACTCTCTCGGCCTCTGCTGGTGTTACACTGCCGCGCGCCCTTTGGCACGACTTGTGCTCGCGTACTTCTTGTTGTCACGTGATGTCACGTGGCTGTCAAGGCACCGCCGGCGCGCAGATGCGTTGGTTGGTAATGGAGCGGTAATCGTCCATGGCACCCCCCCCCGGCTTTTACGGACACACCCGCACTTGTGTGCGGAAAACTTGTAACTTGTAACTGGTAACTGGTAATCGGAGCGTAAGGACCGGTCCCAGCAAATTACCACCCCGCGTGCGTGAAAAGCAGCTCCGGCTTCTTTAGTGCGTTTGTGCAGAAGGGTCCATTTGCGGCAATATTTCCCGACTTACGTTGAAAGGGGGCGGTATGCGACGACCCTCCCTTCTTGTCCGCCGCCGCCGCCACCACGTTGCTCCTGGAGGCGTGTTTCCTTCTGATTCGCACCCAGACGGGGGGCCCATGGCGGCGGCGGCACTGCAAAGTGATGCCGCTGGGCAACAGAATGAGGATGTTCCGTGGGTCGCCTGCGTCGGGTTCTTCCCCTTTCTTCACCCCCGGGGGGGCCTTAAGGTTGCCAGCAGTCACCCAGCCATTGTTTTCATGTATCTGTACTAAACTAATCGACACACACACACATACACGCACACACAAAAGCCAGATACGCCATTCACCCTCATGCCTCCGTTCCTTCTCTCTCTTTCCCTTGCTCCAAGAGCAAAAATGCAAAACTATCTCTTCCTCCCTCATTCTTCTTTCCCTCTCTTTCTTCCCCCCTCTTTCTCTCC